AATTATCAGGAGTAATAAGAATAACGAGAGTTGGGGAGGGGGGGTGAAAGGAGCCGGTCGGCGGAGTGCAGCAACGTAGTTAAGGGAAGGAGAGAAGGGGGAAGGAGGGGGAAAAAAGAAAAAAAAAAAAGTAAAAAGAAAGTTCTCCCTCCCAAACTCAAGTGTGAGAGAAAAAAATGTCAACAAAAGCCGCTCGCGTGTGAACTTTGTGTTTCTCTGCAGGGAAGAGCCGGGAGCACATGGAAGGAGAGAGAGAGGCAAAAAATCCCAAACTGCTGCTGCTGGGGAGGCAGAGGGAGGGGGGAGAGAAAAAGGAGGAGAGGAGGCTCGGAGCCGGCAAGTAGAGAAGTTTGAGCACTTCCCACTCCTCTTCCACTTCTCTGCTGTAGTCACCGGATCATCACCAGCAGCAGCAGCAGCAGCGGCAGGGGCAGGGGGCAGGTCTGCTGCGACTCGGCACTTTCTCGGGCTCCGGTGGGCTCCCTTTCCTTCTTTTGCCCCCTTTTGTTTTGAAGAGAAGGAGGAGAAGGGGAGAGAAGAAATTCAGGCACCAAAAAACCGCCTCGATCGTCTCCGGTGAGATGGTTAAAAAGAAGAAAAAAAAAAAAAAAAAGGCAAAAAAAAAAAAAAGCCCAAGAAGCGGAAAACGTCCCGGATTTTTGCAAAAACCCCCTCCCTGTATCTTTTCTGTTGTTGTTGTTGTTATCCCCAGTCTGTCGATGTGAACAAGAGGAGAAGGGAGAGAAATGTGAAGATGAGAGGAGGTGGAACAATGAATTTATAGCGGAATGCCATCCTGCAATGGCAATTTCAACAATTCGTCACTGCAGGCTGCCTCTTAAAGGGAGAGCTTCAAAACCACCACTCCCACACTTCCTTCTCATTTAATCAGACAGAGGGAGAAACTTGAGGGGAGGGGGAAAGGGGGGGGCTGCGGGGGGAGGAGAAAAGGAGGGAGAGGGAGCGGGAGAGAGGGAGGCAGGAGAGAGGAAGAGAGGGAGGAAGCCGGGGAGGGGAGAGAGACCGGGAGAGAGGAAAAAAAAAATATGTTTGTGTATGAAAAACGCAAGATTTCCCTCGAATGGCTTAAAGCCACAGAGGCCCCCAGGGTCCGAGGTGCCACCGCCGGCCGGGGCCGGCGGAGCTGCGCTTACCTCGCGTCCTGCCCGCTCCCCCCCCTCTCCCGCC